ACGGGGGTCCCCAGCTTCTCCCCCCCTCCCTGGCCCATCGGCATCCTCCGGAGCCCATTGGCACCCTCCTGGCCCCCACCAACCCCATCCCATCACCGTGACTTGGCTGGTGGCCACTCTGTAGCTGTTTTTTGGGGGGTCGGTGGCCTGACTCCCACCCCCGACCGCTCACCTTGGTGAAGTGGAACTGGAGGGGGTCGTCGGTGGAGAGGGAGACCATGAGCCCCCGCGAGAGGTACTCGGGCAGGGGGTTGCGGTGATAGCTGAGGAAGAGGCTGTTGTTGCTCAGCGGGGACATGGCGATGCCGATCTGCGCCAGGTAGTAGAGGTACTGCAGGACAGGGGCCTGGGGGGGCACAGTGGGGTGAGGGGGGGTCCCAGCCACGCACCTGGCCCCCACGGGCACCCCCATCCCTGCTCACCTTGCGGAGCAGCAAGCCATGGGAGATGTTCTCCGAGACCATGAAGCCCGAGACGAGGTGATGGATGGGGCCAGCCTCGCCACAGTGCGGGCGCAGGACAAAGGTGTGGAAGCCCCTCTTCCTGCAACGTGGCGTCAACCATCATCACCTGAGCCCCCCAAGACTCCCCCCAGAGCCCCGAAGGTGTCCTTACCGTCGGAGGTGGTTGAGCACCGTCATGTTGGCGTACATGTAGTACAGGTAGTAGGAGTAGGGTGGGTTGTCCTCCTCCACCCAGTTGCCCGGCAAAGGGCTGTCCAGGTTGAAGATGTGATGCTCTGGTTTGGATTCATCATCCACGCTATCAAAGCCGTCCACCTGCAGGAGAGACAACCCTGGGGTGGGATGGTCACTCCTCCAGCAGATCTGCCCCAGCCCTCAAGCTGGGTCCAGGCAGGTGTCACCAGTGTCCCCTGTCCCCCCCACTGGGAGCAGGACGTGGTGCTCACGTGTTCCAGGAAGAGATGCAGCTCTGGGTGTTGGGCAGGGTGGACGGTGGCCTCGTAGAGGGGCAGGAAGATGTTCTCCAGCATCTCCTGGAAGTTGGCCAACTGCTTCTTTGTCCGGTAGACATCGCTGCAGGTGGACAGACCCCACTTAAAGCCGGGTGTCCCATCCAACCCCACCCCAGCCATCAGTGGGGTGTCCCTGGTCTCCCCACCCGGGACATGGCCCTGCTTGAAGGTATGTGCCCTGCCCCCCCCGGCACTCACAAGAGCCGGGGCACCTGCACGAGCCAGCGGACGTTGTTGGAGTGGACGCGGTGGTTGACAGCCCAGCGGGCCAGCTTGTCCCACTCGTCCCGGGAGCGGCCATAGATGGAGAGCCGCAGCTCGGCGTTTTGGTACTTGCTCTCCTCCAAGTCAGACATCACCTCCTGCCAGGGAGGGGGCAAGTGTCACCCCTCAGCCACAGGGAAGGGGGACGTGGGTGGCATTGCCACCATGGGCATCAGAGGGAGGGAGATGTGGGTGGATCACCCATGAGGGCTGCTTACCTTGATGATGTGGGCGAAGTATTTCCCCGAGACGCGGTTGTCCGTCTTGATGAAGATCTCCCGCAGGATGGACTCGCCAATGGGGTTGTACTTGGCGTTGAACTTGTCAAAGCGGTGAAAGGTGTTGCGGTCCTGGCAGGGGGACGCAGACGTGAGCTGAGACCCCTTGTCACCCCAGAGCCACCACAACAACCCTAGTCAGAGCCCCCAGCATCCCCCACCCTGGGACAACCCCTGGAGAAGATCCCCCCCACCCCGGTCAAAGATGGACTGGGGGCCCTGCTCATCTCCAGGATTTAGGGGTGTCCCCCATACCGCATGGACATCCAGCGTGTCCACGCTCAGATCGTAGGCGGTGAGGTTCATTGTCTCAAAGACCTCCTTGAGTGTCTGCTCCTTGCCCTTCTCCACATGGACAATTTCATCCAGATGCTTCTTCATGGCCCGTTTGATGAAGCGCAAGAGATGTTTCTGGTTCATGCAGGACGAGGCGTGGATGTGGGTGTCCACCTGCACAGCCGGAGATGATGCTCAGCCCTGAGAGCCTCCAAGTGCTCCCCGGTCAAGCCAGGACCCCCACCACGAGCCAGCGAGTACCTTGCGGATATTGTAGAAGTCACGGTGGGGCACCTTCTTCTGGGCCGCCAGCTCCTTCATCTCATTGAGCAGAACGTGCATCTGGAACTTGGAGCTCAGGTACTGAAGCCGGCGGTAGCAGAAGGATTTGCTGCCCAAGGTGGGGAGGGGGCATCAGTTTTGGGGGAGAGGAAGGAGTACATCCAGCCCCATAAGGCTGGTGCCCACCAGGGTGAGGGGATACAGCTCTGGACTCTTGAACCCCCCCTCCACATGAACAGTGACCATGAGCAAGGACGGACACATGGACATGGGACCCGCACCCGTAGCATGTGTCGTAGCTACCATCATGTCCCTGGTGCTGTCCCCAAGGTTCCGTTCCCCCCTCCGCCCTCAAGACAACCCCATGGTGGGACCCTTCTCCCTCACATGGGCCCGTTGATGATCAAAGCCATGAGGAAATTCATGTCAGCGATGAACTCCTGCAGGTCAGGGTACGGCAGGTCCAGTTCCGTACTCCTGGGGGGGGACAGAGGCGGGTCATGTGTGGGGACAGGGTCCAGCAGACTCCCCTTGTCCCCCACGGCACCCAGCGCAGCCCCCCCAGCACACTCACCACACCAGCGAATGGCTGCCCCCCCCGCCTCGCCACTCACTTGTCGGTGAGGTCCTGCTTGGTGTAGACGTGCACCACGCCATCCACCATCTTCAACCCGAAGCCCAGATCAGCCGGCATGGTCTGGGGGTCCCACGTCTCGTAGGGATGCTGCTCTGCAAACGGGGGGTGCACGGGGGCGTCTGCAGCCAGGAGACACCCAACAAGACACATCATCGGACGGCTCCCCCAAAGCCCCTCCAGCACCCTATCCCAGCGTGAAGACCCCACCATCCCGTGCTCACCGACCGCCACGGGGGTCTCGGGCACCTCCTCGTAGCCGCGGGTCTCCAGGGGTTTCTCGGAGAGTTCCTGCAGGTACCGGGCAGTGGTTTTGCAGAAGCTCTGCAGCGACAGCCCCATGTACTTCTCCCGTAGGAACAACGCCTTCACCACGCTCTTGGCTGCATCCAGAAGGTCCGTGAAGGGCACCTGGGGGAGGGGAACACCAAAATAAACCAACCCCAAGGTGGGAGTTGACATCCTGAAGACCCTCACCTGGCCCTGGCTGGGAGGGAGGGGGGGGATCACCCCGCATTTCTCCTACCCCGAGCAGGTCAAC